AAATTAATTAATTAATTTATTAAACATTTAAATTTAGTTTAGAGGATGGAACAGCCGAGATGGACCAATAGGTCCCATGTTGTCCCAAAACATTATGTTAATGAGAATAACTACAGGAACACATGCAAATTATTTTAGCCCCCCAGTGGCAAAGGAAAAATAAGAAAACAAAACTGAGCAAATAAACACAGTCTTTATTCATAAATATTTAATGGCCTGGTGGTTAGGGCGCTCAACTCGCAATATGTGGGTTCGAATCCTCGTCAATGAACATGCTCGCCCTCTCTTTATTCACAAATACTTTAAAAAAATGTTATGCTTAAACTGGCCGGCCTCTGGCTGCTGCGGTAAAGGGCAAAGTCAAGAGAAAGAAAGAGTTGTGTGAATATCCCACTTTTGTAGTTGGACCAAATCCTTAGTGTGGTATTCCACAATTCTCCAAGCCCAATACTCCAAACACTATTCCAATTAACAAATTAAAGGAAGAAAACCGCAACTTATACCAAATTGAACTATCGACAAGTTGAGATGTGATTGCCTCACACCAGGGAATTGACACAGACACAGGGTCAAACTGACACAAGCTTCCATGAGACAGTCGGTGTCATATGTAACTTTACCTAAGCAATAATATTAGTGCATCTTTGTGACTTTTCAGCATGCAGCTTACAACAATATTGTTACGACAGCGGAGGTCACGTGACCCTAGTAACACGTCATATTCTCGAAGCTTCGTGAATCCTCGGGAGGTTACTAGATTTCGGTATTCTTTTATATATAAGACGGTCAAGACGTGACGGCATCAATGTAATGTAATGTAATGCTGTGTAAATGAACTGCGGACAGAGAGAGAATATTGTTGAGTCGAGGACGTGAGACGTTCGTTGTGAATTATAGCGTTTGTTATAGCGCGACTGTGGAAATTAAGTGTATTGCAAAGTTGTATTCAGAAAAAATAAGCCAGTTTTATTTAAGAAAGGACTTGTGTCGCTAAAGTTTCATCGGAAAGAATTTTTACGGAAAATTAACTAACGAACGGAGGCGTAACAATATCATCAACTACGCGCAGAAAACCTACATCAAACACCAGAAAAGATATCTGACAAGTATATTCTAAACAGGGGTGAAATTCTGCCGGTACTAAGTACCGGATCATATTATTTAAGGCGGTACTAGCACCAGGACTAAATTGAGCTGCTTTGTCGTTTTTTATGTTCACAGGTAGATTTTTTTTTTCAAAAACAGGTTCACTTCACCCATCTTTTTTTTTTTTTTAGAATTTTACCCCTTCTTCTAAACTAGTCACGGAAGAATGAAATTAACAGTTATTTCAATCGTAACACTATCGATGGTGCAAAAAAAAAAAATAATTGTATATAGTGTAGGTCAGATGAGGAATGTTCTAAAATTTACAACACGGGTATTTCTTACATTTAACACACGATATATATAATAGTATAGGTGTCAAGTGATATTATTTCTAGTACCTCTGCTAATTTTTTTTTTTGGTAATTGCAAATTTGGCCGACAAGCGTAGCTTTTTTGGAGTTACCTAGGCCTAAAACTTAGACAGAAAACATGTATAACTCCATAATGTTTAAGTACTAAAAATACAAACATTTAGTAACTACTAAAAAATGAAAAATCAACAACAACATAACATTTACTTCAAGTATGAGTTTACATTCTATTAATTTACAGCATAGAAAAGTTCCCCACTTATTCAGCGGTAAGTCTGTAGACTTACGACCCTAAACATCGGGTTTCGATACCTGTGATGAGCAGAGCATAGATAGCCAATTGTGTAGCTTTGTGCTTGTAATATAGAAACAAGGCTTTATAACTCACCTGGCCCAGCACCGGAAGCGGATGGAGAAGATATCACGTTCACACAGCCTCGTGATCGTAAATCCCACAAACGAATTGTTTTGTCGTGAGAACCGCTGACAAACATGGCGCCTCCCCACGTGTACAAGGATAAGATTGTACCTTGGAAATTATTTTGAAGTCTTATAATAATGAATAACATAAAGAACAACAACAGACAAATGTGATACATATGAGACTGCAGAAATCAAGTTTTTCACGAAATATGAGTTATTTGTAATGTTTGGAAACTGATGTATGTTTAACAATGTATCTTATTATAATGGAGCTTGCGATGTGTATTTCCAAAACTCGGATCTCGGAAATTACTGCACCGATCATCACCAATCATAACTGGGTAATATTTTTATAACTAGGCAGTATTTTTATAGCTGAGCAATAAATAAAACAACTGAAATTTCCACAAAAATGTTATGTTTCAGATTTAACCAATAAAAATTAAAAAAAGGAGTAAGTTTCAAATAAAAAACAAACTTAAAAAAATGTTTTTCTTTAGTGAAAATCTCACGAGTACTGCAACAGAAAAGCAAGGCACTTTCATTGATAACTGCGTCTACAAAGAAATACTTCAATAAAATCTACTCCGTGATGTAATGCTGTGATAATAGCTCATTTTTAAACTAAAGTTTCAATAAAATCCTTTTTCTCGTGGATGGTAAACATTATTGAATGTCAAGTATGAGAACATTGTTGTAGAACTGTCAGACAATTCCAGAAAAGGCCGCAGGTCCAATAGCCTTCCCCAAGAACTAGCAGTTATACCTGCCTGGAGGGCGGGTATTTGTGCTAGTTAAATTAATTAATGCACCTAACAGTAACAGCATTCTCGTTATTACTTCAACGTTATTAATTATGACATTTGCAATTTTAGAAATGGTGTTCATAAATTTTAATACATAAAATATGTTTAAACCAGTGTAATTAATCTTTAAGTAGCTGTACATTATGAATGTCCAGATAGGGGGGTTTAAAATACTTTACTCCCGGCATGGGGTTATATATGTGCACAAACATGTGCATATTTCAGACATTCACTGGACATTCCGGTGTGTTATTCAAATAGTAATCTATTCGTCTATTGCTCATTCTGATGTCTAATCATAGCCAATATATAATTAGTCTCCAATATTACGGCCCGGGCCATTTCCCTTCCCTATATTTAGATGACATTCCCGTTTCACAGTCCGTTATAAAGATTTTATTGTCAGCAGCGCCACCACTGATGAGTAAACTGGATCTGTTACTGAGGTCTTCCATGAAGCACAAGTCCCGTACTGTTCCTTTATGCATCGTCAGCTCCGCGGCGCTACCTGCAGGCCAACAAGAGAATTATCAGGGAGAATATTTCAAAATTGCAACTGGTATGTAGTTTCCATTTCATATTTAATTATCCTGTCTTCTGTTTATAAAACAAAATAAAACTTCGGACTACGAGTTCTTTACTAAACCACTTGATGGTTTACTCACCCTCAATATTACAGACTTCCTGATTGAATCTCGTTAATTTGATTGTCTTATCACTGGAACCTGTCGCTAGCAAGTCGCCTGTTCCATTCCAAGCTAGGCAATAGATAGAACCCTTGTGGTGTTTTTTTCTTTTCATCAGAACAGTTGGCTCATGTGTCTCGTAGTTTTCTCTGTAAAAACTTCTGAACTTTAGTATCTAACCGTTAAGACTCTTATCTTTCATCCGACTCTCAAACTTACAAGATATGTATACTTTTAAAAGTATTTCTAAATAACATCATATTTTAAAACTTTCTGTAAAGTTTTATTGAGATAGTTGTTTATTGTGCATTAATTGACGTCACAGCACTCCAAGTGAAGTTCTGATTTAAACAAAAAAAAACAAGCAACCTTGCATCTATTAAATGTTGATTCAAACACACATTTTAAAAGCTTTTTTTTTATCAGTATGATAAGTCTCCTGCTGGGACAGCGGTAAGTTTTTGGATTTACTCTGTTAAAATCAGGGGTTCGATTCCTCTCGGTCGACACAGCAGATAGCCTGATGTGGCTTTGCTATAAGAAAAAAAAACAAAAAAACACCCACAATATGATAAAACGGAAATGAACTTGTAAAGCATGATTTCCAAAGAGGATTCAGTAACAAGTTGTTGTGAGGATACTGTAACAAGACGTTGTACTACACCACATCGTATTTATATAGTTCTTATTAAGTGTAACGAAAGAAAACGCATATGGCAAAAATATGTCTATACTATAAACATATCATTTTTTAAAAAATAAATATTAGTTATTTTAACAACAATCTATCTGCTTTTGCCTAAGATATTATTTTGTTCTAGGATACAAACCTTAGTTCATACGTTTTGGGATAAGCACAGATTTGTAAGGCCATAGAATTAGCTCCAGTTGCGTAAAATTGTCCATTTGGATGAAATTCAGCAGCCCTAATGGGTTGGTCATCTGCTTGTTTTGTTACCGGGATAAACTTGGGCTTGTGGTCAGCAGCATCGTTCCCATGATGTTTGTTGGATTGTCCAAGATCGTGCTGGAATGGAACAATAGCTTCAAATGTTAATGTGATAACATTCAAGCTTTTGGAAGAATAAACATCTAGATATTTATTTATTTTGTTTTTGCATTTAGACAAACTTTCGATTCTCACCACAGTTAATAAACAGCCACTTCAAACAACTTGGAAAATACCACACACTAAATTGAATCGTTCTAAATTAAACCGTCATTGGATCTCACGTATCAAATTGGTCGTTCTAAATCAAACTATCATGGGATATCACGTAGCAGATTGATCGTTCTAAATTAAACCGTCATTGGATCTCACGTACTAGATTGATCGTTCAAAATCAAACTGTCATGGGGT